GCCCAGGCTAGAGTGAGTGCGTGGCGTCAGCCTAGCTCACAGCAACCTCAAACTCCTGGGCTCAAGCGATCCTCCTGCCTCAGCCTCCCGAGTAGCTGAGACCCCGGCTAGTTTTTCTATATATATTTTTAGTTGGCCAATTAATTTCTTTTATTTTTAGTAGAGACGGGGTCTCGCTCAGGCACAGGCTGTGTTTCCAACTCCTGACCTTGAGCAAAACCGCCCGCCTCGGCCCCCGAGTGCATGCTAGGATTACAGGCGTGAGCCACCACGCCGGGCCGAACCTCAGGCCTTTAAATGACAATGATACGGGGAAATGCAGTATACTTGCCAAGCGCTTGGAAGTGTGGTGATGCAGCTGAAATTCTTCTAGAAAGCTCCGAGGCGCCTTGGTGGGAGTTCCAGTCACTGTGGCCTCACGTTAGGGCAATTTGACAGCGCGGCGGCCGCCCCTGGACGGCTCCCGCCTGCGGTGGGGCCGCTGCAGCTTCTCACACCCACACCCATCTCAGGGTTGTAGCCAGCGGCCGACACCTGACATTGTCACTGGCTGCAGGTGCGTCCCTGGCACCTGTGCTACCTGCGCGCAGGCACGCCCTGAGCGGGAGCATTTCCCTTTCACGCTGTGCGCCACGCCCTGCGTTACCTGCCGCCAGTGGCCCCAGCGCCCACGCTGCCCGGCGCAGCAAGCTGACCTGGGAGGAGGACGAGGAGAACATTCCAGGCATGCTGGGCTGCCGGCAGGGCTGGGAACTGGCCCGCCTGGCGGGCGGGACGGGCGCGCTGCCTCAAGGCCTCTGGCTGACCCGCGAGCAAAGGGGCGCCTGCTCCAGGCCGGGCGGCTGCCCGGAGTCATCAGTCGCCACCTGGCCAGGCCAGGCCCTTCCTGCCGTGGCTCTTCCAGGGAGCCCCGTCTGGGTGGGGCAGCTCCGGGACAGGGAGCTCAGCCCGGCCCGGGAGCAGCACCCCGCCAGCCCGCGGTGAGGCTGGCCCCGGTCCCGTCCACAGCGAGGACCCCGCGTCCCCGTCCCACCCCACCACAGCAGATGCTGTTCCGACCGCAGGAATCTCTCCCATTTCCCCAAGTTCAAAAGCAGACAGCTGGCAGGAGAGGCCTTGGTGGGCTGGTCTGCAGCGGGCGAGTCCCCGTCTGGACGCGCTGGCCGGGACGCAGGAGGCTCGGCGCCCTGGCCGGCCTCGCCCAGGCCGGCTCTGACTGCAGCCGTGTGCTGGGCCGGGGGTGCTGCCGCTGCGTTCTGCCCTGGGTCTCCCGGCAGGCAGCGCCGGGCGGTGCAGGGACGCGGCGTGGCTGCGATGGCCGTCGGTCGGGGCTGCTCTGCGACTCCTGGAGTGCTTGGGCACGTTCTCCTGGGCTCCAACCGTGAACAGGGCTGTTGCCCGGGGCGGCAGCCAGCGGGACCGGGACACAGATCTGCAGTGACTCAGGCTGTTTGTGGTGGGCGCACAGGTCTCTCTCGTCGCGGGAGCCAGTGATTGGCGAGAAGCCCTCCAGGCTCTGCAAACGTGAACCCCGAGGTGGTGTCCCTGTCAGTGTCTGGCTCCCGCTGGCCTGCCTTTTGTACCAGGGAGGAGGCAGACCAGGGTCACAGGGGCCAGAACCCGTGGTGCCTCCAGGGCCTGTCCGTCTGCAGGGGAGTTGAGGCGCAGGATGCGCAACCATCTGCAGCCGCCCAGAGCCGGTAACAGCAGGTCCAGGCTTGGAACCCGAGCCGGCCCCAGCCCTGACATCCTGCAGCCGTGGTGGGTGCCTCCCGCCCTGTGGGCGTGGGAGAAGACAGGCCCCAGAGGGTGTGAACACCATGAAGACACCAGCTGCCATTTTGTGGGCGGCGTCTCTCAGGTC